AAGTTACAACAATCTCCAACCTAAGAACGATGGAGAACATCTTTTAACCGAACTGAATAGCTACATGTTACAATGTTCGTGAACGGTAGGGAACATCGACAACATCGAACAGGTCGAAGCAACACGAGAGGTTGGCACGTCATCAACCTGAGTCAACTGGCGGGGTTCGAGTTGGTTCGAGTGAACGATCGCGCAGTCAACTCGCACGTCTTCATGAAAAGCACCTGAATCAGAATCAATCAGTTCCGCACGTTCAGTTAGGTTCTACGAGATTCGGAAAGCCCGGTTCCCGGAAACCGCTTCACGCCACGAAGACGCACCAGCTCGTCGGAGCACCGGAATCAGCACCTTGACCAAAAGCCGATCAAAAACATCCCACGCACCCCATCTCATGAGGAGACATAAGCCGGAACCCAAAGGGTCACCTGCCTTTGCCTGCCTTTGGTGACTTCCAGTCGATTCTATGGCTAGGGCGTATCAATAAGCGCGTGAGAAGTCTGGTCATGAGGCAAACAAGCGATTCTTCGAGGCTTTCCCTTGTCCTTCTTTATTCCTACCTATTTGCGATGCCCTCCACCCGAATTGCGATGGCCTCCAACCGCCAAACTCATGATGTGTGGAGTTGGTCAAGCGACGAAAAGACTTGAAGGGAGAGATTTCAGAGTCTGATGCCAAGACAGCCGAGAGTGGCTTCATCCGAATCAAATCGCACGAAACTGAAGTTGAAACAGAAACCAATGCTTCTTGCTACTACTAGTGAGGCACTTGCTCCTAGTAGCGATGCACTTGTTTCTACTAGCTTCTTGTTACTACTATATAACGAATGCACACGAATGCCGATCGCATTCTCAAATTCATCTCCACGTTCGTTTGACGAATGCTGATCTTCTCGTGTTTGCTGAAGCCCCTTGCACAAATGGTTTATGAAGGTGCACAATCAGAACGACCAAGCGGGCAAAAGGAGCAAAGAAATAGCGGAATGAACCGGAGATTCAATGAATTGATAGATCAATCAACAGAATCGCGAGGAATCAAGAAACAAACGACAGAGTGTCATGTGAAAAACGTCACTGACTCAGGCTGCGACAAATGCGAAAACTGCAGCATCACGCCCCGTTCGAACGAGACGAACATCGCCGTTGGCGATGCGCGTTGCGATGGGACCGTTCTCAGCACGCACACGTGGGCCACCGGAACGAGCGACGCAGTCACATCTCGCCGCGGCGACCGGACGAACGCGACCGAATTGCAAAGTGACACATCACTTGTTGTGCCTAAGCTTCTGAAAGGTGTCTAATCAGCCCTTTTGAAGCGCAGTGCGAAACATTCATTTGAACGGAGACCCGAAGCGCATCCATGTCGTCCATGTGTCCCTTGTCATCCCCGCGTTGAGCGGCTTGATGCAGTTCAAGACCTGACAGAACACTGCCGAAGTCAAATCCAGCCAGTCCAAATACCGCAAGTCGTCTTCGAGCAAACTCAAGCCTCGCTCGTCACATTGGCAAGCTATCAGAAACATCACTCACACTTCGCAGTCCACCGGGGCCAGGAAGACGTGGAAAGGCCGAGCCGCTCTGTCCTCACCGCTCGACGCCAAAAAATATAGAACATGCTCAAAAAGCAACTAAAACATCCTTCTGGGTGAGAACCAAAGCCGTACACACAGTTCACTTAATGATGTAAATTTCGTATGTTTGAGGTTCATGGTGGTTGAAAATTTGAGACGCCTTGACTGTGCTTCTGCAAATGCAAGCGTTTTAGGGTACAAACAAAAGCTGGTGCTGTTTTTGAAGCCTCGTTTCGTGAGAAACGCGCAATTCCCGCAGCCTGTCGGTACTTGACACAAACCGCCGTACATGTTGGGTACAAGGAAACCCCTCCTCGCTTTACGCGTCACGTGTTGCAAAGACTTGACCCCTATCCTCAGATCGGGGTCTCATAGGGTCGAGCAGTTCACTGCACTCTGGTGATGGGCGCGGGGAACTCGCCCTACCTTACGAGGACGCCCCTCTTTCTAAGCTTCACCGTGTTGTAGTTAAAATTGCTTGCTCCCCCCCATCAGAGGGGGCATTACCTGGCTAGTGCTGCGCGGAGATCCAGCAGCTCGCTTGTGTGTGCACACGGATGTAGCACCCGGCAAGTCAGCCTGTCTCGACTGATATGACTTGCAAACTCACTTTGTGGAGCAACTTTTATTGTCACACTATGATGTAGTAGGGGAACCACTGAGACTGAGCCTTCCGCTGGGAGGGCCTGGTGTGTAAACCGCTATCGCATGCGGCAAGTTGACCTGTCTTTACTGACCTGATTTACAAACTTGTGTGGATTCAGGTAGAAGGGGAGCGGTGGGCATTCCTGAAGTCACCGCTCAGCGAAGACACTTCAAGCTTGTTGTGAAATGCAATCTGGACGCAGATTGCACGTTACTACATTGCCTGTTTTTCAGTGTTTTCAAGCTGTGACTCAAGTCAGAAGCTACTAGTAACAAGTGCCTTACTAGTAGTAACAAGAAGCTATTAGAAACAAGTGCCTTACTACTAGTAACAATAAGACTTTAATTAGAATTTTTCAACTTTGACTTCACTCTTTCGACGTTTCACCTCAACAGGTTCATTTGGAGATTGTGAACTTAGGAGGCTAGCGACTTCGTTCTTCACCTTAACCCTTGAAAGTGTGTGTGTGTGTGCTTGTCAAACCCCTTAGCTCGTCAGCACCATCATGGCACAGTTCATTTCAAGACATCAAGAAGCACATCCAAAACGAAGACTCCTCAAATCATCTCGTTCCAAACATTGTGGACTGCTTGATTCCTTTGCTACTCTCCAAAGGTTCATGTGTGGAGGCATGGGGCAGGCCCACAACAAGAAATCCACGGTACCCAATGGATTGCCTTCAAGAAGAAATTGCAACAAAGAGCGCAAAGGCTTCATAGTCTCAAAGTCTTCAAAGGCTTGATGGCCTCCAACCTACCGGGACCATGATGAGAGGCAAATTGGAAGATTGACTTAAACTCCGCGTTCTAATGATTCGACCTTCGAAGAGGCAAGGCCCCTTCTCCGTTCGAAAAAGAATTCAACATGGTTCAACTTAAAAACAGAATTTGCCACATGACATCACATGAAAATGATCGCCAAACTTAGGAAACACATCACAAAAAAGAAACTGATTAAACAAAATGTTAAGGAATCGTCTCTCATGGCATAACTTCTTTGAATGTTCCTTCATCCCGTATCCTGAGCGGCCGCCATCTCGATCGTCCACATCCGTGCGGAGATCGGAGCATCGAGAGAGATCGAGATCTGCATCCTTTCGCTAACTTAGTGATCGGATGCTCCTAGTAGCTTCTTGTTACTACTAGTAAGGCACTTGCTCCTAGTAGCGTGGCACTTGTTCCTAGTAGCGTCCTTGCTCCTACTAGTAAGGATGCTTCTTACGTTCGTAGTACGGCCAGGAGCCCCGTTCGTAGCGTCCCATCGCTCCTAGCTTCTCGGTCGAAGTTGCTTGTACATCTTACTTGGTACACCTCAGTGAGAGGCTAGGCGCCAAGGCATAGTGAAGCTTTTAGAGGAAGTACTGAACGTTCGTGGCACGACGCCACCACGTGCCACGTAGCGAGCCGATGAGCTCAGCTGGGAGGCTCACGAGGCTCACGACCATGTCACTGTCACCGTCCGTGTCACGGTCTTCTCTGTGAACACTCAGAAGGGACTTCAGGTCAGCAATGGCCTCGCTATATGACTCCCAGTGTTCACAAGACTCTCAACACCGAAGCCTCGTGTCCACTGACTTCAGCTTCACTCTGAACATCTGAAGATGGCATGCATTCGAGAAGAAAAACTCCCTCAAACTGCCTTTTTGCGTCTCAGAACCGACCTGATGATCTATTACAGCTGCGGAGTACAGTCAATCTTGTTTTAGCCAGCTCGGTTCTCCCTATCGACTTTTGCAGGTCACATGTGGCTTTATCGTATTCATGCCTCATGCGTTGCATGTGCGACTGTCGCCACTCCGCGTCGGCACCTAGCGCATCCTAGCACTGTGGCCTCTGTGGCTCGATGTGGCGGTCTAGGAGTTTCTAATTGCGATTGTTCGAAGCGATGCCAGCCCCTATAGTAGCGTCCGATCGCTCCGATGGTGCCTAAAGGCCTAAAGGGGCGATGCCGATGCGATGCCCTCCGAAGGCGACGAGCGGCGTCTCGAGAAGCGACGTGGAGCCGCATCGAGCGGACTGTGGTGCCGCGCTTCGCGTCATGTCAGACGCGGAAACGAGAAGGAAGGAACGAAGGAACGAAAGGACGAAGAACGGACAAAAGGTCCGGTCTGTTTTGGACTTCGTGCTTCGGTCATGTCTCAAACGACCTCTTGGTGCTCGTGGCTCACTGGCACCGGGAGTGATTTCAATTGACTCAGAGTTGCCAATGAGTCGCGGAGTGTGGGAAGTTTCGGAGCAAAGTCTAAGCTGACACCGTCTCCACTTGACCCCACCTCTTGTGAAATAGCTAAGCATATGACTAGGTCGTTCATCCCAAGGTTCTCACAAGCACTTCCTGAATCAAGTCCATTCTGGCCCATTCTGCAGCCATTCTAACTCAGCTTCAGCTTGGCACTTCATCAACCTGCACGGTTCGACACAATTGCACGGTTCCTCGACCATGGCGGGATGGGACCGGCGCCTCGGTTCTTGAGACTGAAACGCCACGTTGACCAAGCTCTGCCGAGGAGCCCCATTCGTAGCTTCTTGTTACGTAGTAAGGCCAGGAGCCCCGTTCGTAGCGTCCCTTCTAAGTTGACTTCAGTTCACTTCAAGTCACTTGTGAGCTGTCTTTACTGCTGTCCTCTTTCTTGCACGTCTCAATCCCCATGTAAGTTGTCCTAGTCACCTAGTCTTGCAGGTCCTACAGTTCGTGCATGTTTGGGAGCATACACTGGATCTCAACATCTTCGCGAACTGATGCGAATCTGGTGTCTTAACAAAGCATGCAAGAAAAGCATGCATGATTTGGAAGAACCGAGAAGCTCCTGTGCTCCCAATCTCTGCCTTTGACTTCTCTGCTTCGCAGAATGTGAGGCAAGGAATGTGTGCACATATGTACATGTTATTGTTGTTCTTTGCATTTGCATCACTCAATCGTATAGACACGCCTGTACCAAATGATATACTCCGGGTACACTTGGTTTTCATCCTCAGCGGCTCTCTTGACGCGCAAGCTGCACACATTTGCAAGAACATGAAAAAACTGCACGTGCGCACAAAAACCTAAAGAAGTGTCGACCAAAAAAACCAACCAAATCGCAAGGTGTTTTGCAAGAAATTGGAAAAATCCGTCGTTTTGGCCGCTTTCGGCATTCGCGGGCGATGTAAGGCCCGACGGGCTGCTACCGAGGTGCATAAACAATGTATTCCTTGGACCAAGCAGAGCTATGCATAGGCTTTGTGTTACTAATGGTAGAAATGCTACTTGTAGTACAGCCAGGAGCGCCTAGTAGCATCCTTGCAGCGGGCGGAGGCCTTCGCTATTAGGTCGGAGGCCTTCGCTAGTAGGTAGATAGGAGGCCGGGGCTGTTAGGTTGGAGGCCAGGTTCTCTGAAAGATTATGAAAGACATACGCTATTAGGTTTTCAGTGCCCACAGTTGGAGCCCTCAGGCCCCTCTTCATCCAAGGAGCATTGTAAGCGCGCCTCCCCTTCACCGAATGGAAACCTCCAGCATGGCAGACCTTCACAAAATGGAGGCAAAGGTTGGTTCCTCCTGCCTACTTACTTCATTAAGCAGAGACTACCTATTTAATTAAGAATGGGGGTTGCCGTTTAGAGTAAGGGCAACTTCGAAACACGTAAACATCCCAAGGAGAGCACCCTTCGTGATGCAAACCCGCACCAAGTCTGACCCAGTCTTAAGAAGTTTAACTGGTCTCAACAAGAAGCTACTAGGAACAAGTGCATCGCTACTAGTAACAAGTGCCTCACTAGTAGTAACAATGTTTGCTAGTAGAAACAAGAAGCCTGTAATTAGAATTAAGTTTAATGTGAGTGATTGCGTCCTTGAGCATTGTCGCGCCTTCATGCATTCACGGCCACCCCCTTCTTGCTGAACAGCACGGCCCATAGTGCATCGACACAAAATCATTGTTCTAAGTCCTGTGGGATCTGGATCTGTATACTCCTCAGCTGGCATATGCAAGCTAGGCCAAACTGAACGAGTCAGTGAATTGGAAGGTAAAATGGTCAAGGGCAACATAAGCTTTAGCAAACTGTCTGCCATATTCTTGAAATTAATCTATTCCTCGAGTCCGAACAATGGAAGAAGAAAACATCAGGGCAAGAATAAGTAAGCTGCGCCTTGCCAAGGACGCATGTTTGGTGCTTTCCCCAGTGCTTGTGCCTCCTCCTCCTCCTCCTCCTCTCTGCCCTGCACCAACTCAGCTCACTCAGCTCACTCACTGATCACTTGTCACTCAATGTGTGTTCACAATCTTACTTCACATCTGCGCTCATCATCATACAATCATCTACCATTCCTCTTCCTTCCGCTTTTGCGTCGACTTAACACAAAAGTTCGCTTTCTTGTGAGCTCACTTCAACCGTCGTAAATCTGCAAAGACTCGTCGCTCTTCGTCACCTTGGAAGACGCCAGTGACAACGTGTCGAATGGGGATGACCTCCACCCTACTACCAAAAGGAACCGGTAGCAAACGAAAGCACCTAGTTGCAAATTGCTCCTAGTAGTAGGGCCAGGAGCCCCTAGTAGCTTCTTGTCCCTACTAGCAAAAGGAGCCTAATAGGAATGGCCTCCAACCTAAGAGCGATGAATGGGGTTGCCTTTCTTTCAATTGAAACCTTCACGAGCTTCACCTTCGTGCTAGCCACGGCACAGAGTCAGCCAAGTAGATTCCTGGACCAAACATGGTGCCTCGATTGGTCCCAGCCATCCGGACCTGCAAATGCCACAAGGATGTTTCAAAATCGAATAAATTGAGGAATCTAATCCGCCGGCCCTTGGGCGCCGGCGTGTTTTATCAATGTGGCTTGTATGTAGCTTAAGTTATGTTGAATCTATATGTAATAAGAAAAAGTGTCTCTGGAGCAAGTTTTTGCTTCGTCTAACTTGAGCCCCCCCCTCCCCCCCCCTCCCTCCCCAAGATCATCCCAAATGTATGTAGCTCACATATATCATGGCTAAAGTGAAAGGTTGTGTGCGTTTCCTTCTTATCGTCGTTTTTCTCTTGTCGTTGTCCATGCATTGCGCTTCTGCTTTGCATGCATTTTTCTCAGGTTTTGCACCTGCACTCACGTATCTATCGTTTTTTGCAGACTCAGACTGCTTGGAAATCCCCATGCCACACATGTCCTCATTACTCTCTTGCATCATGTCTGACGGAATGCTATGTACGTTTGCTGCTTCGCACGGTCTACTTCGCTCATTGTGTCACATGTCATATAATCTGTATTCTTGCTTGGCAGGCTATACTTTGCACCCCCCAATTTCATCTCCCTGTTCTCTTATCGTATCACAACGCACGTCATTTCATGTAGGCTCCTCTGTTGCTCCAGCTGTGTTCTGGATGATGCTGTTACTTTTTCTGCTCTGTTGCAGTCTTTCCTCTTGACGCAAAAGGTAATCCGCATCTTGGGGCCATTGGCTGAAAAGGCCGGCGGAACAACCCGCAGGGTGTAAATAGCCTCCAAATTAGGGATGGCCTCCAACATACTAGCACATAAATGAACAAAGTATAAAGAACTTCCAAACGTTTATCTGTTCGTGTCTTCTCTACGTCTTTTGGCGCGAGACCACTGTCACTGCCGAGCCCGAACTGCGTTCATTGACACGTTTCGTCTTACTTTGTTTGACTATACGTGTCTTCTCTACGTCTTTTGGCACGAGACCACTGCCGAGGTTCTTTTCCTCCCACTTTAGAGCTACCACGGTTGGGTCACGCGCAGCTTCTGTCCAGCGGGGATCTTGCTTGCCATGGTCGCAGTCTCTTTCGATGTCTTCTTCACCTTGATCTCCTCATCGAACTGCATGGCCGAGTCCAACATCTTTCGCAAGATCTTGAAGGGAATGTTCTCCATTTCCACCTCGATCCGGTTGGCCGGTGTGAATCGATCATACCTGCCCTTGCTGAGATCGTCGGCTTCTTCATTCTGTTCTCGGGGAACCCAGCATAGGTCCAAGTCCAATCTGAAATCTTCCAACTGCTTGGCCAACTCCATGAGGACCAACGACAAGGGGAAGCGGGCGGTGAGGAATCTGTCCAGCAAGTAGGCGTTGGACAAGTTGTCAGTGAAGCCAGTTATCCCAACACGACCGGCCCCATCACGCCACTTTCCGCCAGGTCCAAAGACTAGGATGGCTACCGTGACTCCCAAGAGCTCTGCGCTGGCGATGGTCCTGAACGGCTCACCCTTCACGAAGAGGGAGGCAGCATTCCGACGATTCAGGACCACATGGAACCATCTCGCTGCCTTCGGGTCAGTCGACTCATAGGTCTCCCAGCCGCCAATCGCCACCTCAAGAACCGCGGGGTCACCGCTCAGCTCCCGCATGGGCGTCTCCTGCACCATCTCAACAAAGAAAGCCATCGCCAACCTGGTGGCCCAAGTGGAGCTCGAAGAAACTGCCACCTGTCACCTTGGCTGAGGCCGCATACAAGGGAGCCAAGAACGGCCGGGCACAGCCAAGAAGCCCATTCGTCCCAGGCCAGCGCGAAAATCACGCCCCAAGAGCTTGCCTTGCTCTGATGCCCAGGCGCACCATCTTTTCAACCATTCTATCTTCTTCGGCCCAATGCCCAGTCGCCACTGCTTGACGTCGACCGTGTAGCCAATCCACTCGGTCTGAACCCCCCCTCGAGGCCCTCGAGTCTTGGCCCATGACATCGGGATCTCCATGACCTCCACGTAGATGAAGAGGGCCAAAATCAACTTGTGGTAGTCGAGACCTCCGGAAAGGATCAGGCCGTCGTCGGCAAACAAGAGGAGATAGAATATGGCTTCAGGCGGGATGAGCTTGCGGTAAACTCGAAAGATAGTTCCAGCAACCCTCCCCCACCAAAATGCAGCCGAGGCGACACCGAAGGTTCCACGAGTGTTCACGTAGACCGTGTCCTCGTCCTCCAATCTGCAGGCTTGTAGTCCCCAATCCCGGGGATGCACCGGGATCAAACGGTGGGCCGCCTTGATATCGAAGGCCATCAGCATACGAGGTCCGCCAGCCTGGGCCTTAAAGGACTTGAGCATGGCCTCAACATCGTCATACTGAGGGAAAGCCATCTTATTGGGCTGGGTGACCTCCGTGTTGACATGGATTCCATGAGTCCCATCATGCACCACCCTGACATCAGCCCACTCAGCATCCTTCGGCACCGCCCCAAGCGAAGCCACCTGGAGCTCCTCACCATATCTATCCTGGCCTCCTCCAAGGTCAGCACCTGCATCCATCCTTTCTTCACGTCTTTGTCCACATGCTCCTTGACCTTGCCCATATGCTCCTGTGCCGAGAAGTAGTTCTCTCTCAGCTCCTCGCCAACCTGTCCTTCAACCCAGGCCACCGGCACGTGGTCATCCCCTCCTCGTCTTTCTTTCTTGTCGTAGACGGCTGGGATATGGGGAATCTCTCCCCTGACAGCCAATGGCACCCCAGTCGCAGCCACATCCTCCAAATACCTCCAATCGGCGTCTTCCACCAGCTCCGCCCAAGCCTGCAGTGTCCGGAAAGCTATTTCACTGTCTCGATCTGCCTTCTTGCGGCCAGGCTCATCCCCATCTCCACCAAGGCGGAATCCAAGTTGGCCCGGATCCCCCCGATCTTGTCCCGAAACGGAGACTCCGAATGCCTCCCCAGGGCCAATTCAGCCATCAAAGCCAAGCGCTCCTTCTTCGTCATGGCGTCCATGAAGCCAGTCACCTCCTCCCAAAATGCCTTTCTCAACCTTTCTCCTCGATCTGAGAGAGTGGCTCCTCTGTGGCCGGCCGGCCGAATCCCAGGTGAGCTGAGACCCAGTGCACACGACGCGACTTGCCCTTGTACCACACCTGCAGGGGTGTCCAAGGAGCCACCCCGACCTTGCCTGCCGGCAACTTTCTGCCCACTCTTGATGCCGAAGTTGAACCTGTCTCCACATGATCATCAACCCTTTTTCTCTTCTTACTCTCTTCATGGCCTTCTTGTAGATGCCCTTCTGCCTGATCGTGCCCTGGAGATCCATGTCGATCATGCCCATGAGAACCTCCCGGGTTATGGTCGTGCCTATCCCCCCCCCTGACCTCCTGGTGGATCACCTTGTTCGTGATTCGCTGAGTCCGTGGCCATGGCTGCCCTCTTTAGAAGGGCACGGAGTAGATGATCCGCTAACCATCTGTCCATCTCTGCAGGGTAGGCAGCTGCAGCTGAAGTAGCAAAAAGCCCCTTGGGAAGTCTTTCGAATCAAAGTTTGATGAGTCCGCCCGCATGTGCAAACCCCAAGAATGGCCTCGGTAGCGAGATCGATCAGAAAACTCTGGCATTCCACTGTAAATGTCCTGGACGAGGGATTGAATATCAGTCAAAAGCCTGGTAGGTTTGGGGGAAGGTGCCCCAAACTCACACTGGTAGAAGGCTCCTGAGAAGGCCTGCCCCAAGCGTACCCAATTCACAATGGGGAGGAGTTGCCAAATGGATGCCGGTCGAATGTCGTCGCCCCATCGTGCAGTGCTGCCCAGGTCCTCCGCGTGCTCTAAAATAAAGGGTGTCCCCAGCTCCAACGAAATTGTGATGGCCAGCAAACAAAGTTCCACCATGGAGTTGCTCTTGTTGACCTTATCTATTTTTGCCCCCTCCAGCCACGGAAAGCCCCAGGGGTGCATCGAAGATCGCAATGGCCTGGGGCCGTTGTCATTCGCACATGGTGCCCGCGACCAAGTGCCGCAAGGCGGTGACATGATGACGGCGTCGTAGCCGCCGCTTCGAAGGGTCGCCAATATCCTCTGGCGCAGTGCTTCATGCAGTAGATCATGCTCTGGATCTTTAAGGATGTCGAATTCGTCCGCCGTGATGGTGACCCCCCTCTTGGAGGCGAGTCTCTTCAAGCACTTCACTAATCCTGTGTCACGTTCGCGACCAGCAAATAGGTAAAGCACCTTGTAATGCTTCTTCTCCTCCGCCGGTGGGGCCGAGGCCCCTAGTCACTCCTTTGGGTCAAGGTGCTCATGCATTGGGTGCCCCGGGTCCAGGCAGACAGGCAGATCCTACATGCATGAACTCGTCCGCAACCTCCCTGACAGCCCTCCTGCTTGTTGTTGTAAGCGAAGCAAATCTGCCTCCCGTCGGATGTCGACCCATGCAGCCCCGGCCCCTTTGCTTTTCCCTTCGCCCGATCGCCTTTCTTGCCTTTTCCTTTTCCTTTTGTGAACTTGCCCTTCGCATACGGTGAGTCGGAGTGGTGTAGTCGATCTTGTCCCCGTCCACGAGCTCCCCATCCATCTCGAAGGCTCTGCGCCGCCGAGCTGACCGTCAATGGCGCGCTGAAGTACCTCTCCCGGATGTCGGGATTCCTGACGATGTCCTTCAGGGCCTGCACGAAAGTGATCCCTTTGTTCACCTCCTCCATGGCTTCCTTCCGCATCTGGAACTCATAGTTCAAAATCAGCTTCAACGATGGGCGGTGAAGGGGTACCCCATCAACATTCTGAGCCTCCAGCTGTGACACATGCTTTGAACACATGTAGTTGAGGTACTCGATAGCCACGAAGGGTGTGATGTCGTCCAATACATTCCTATGAGGGTACCTGAACCTGGCGAAGATGAAGTGGTTGATCATCAGCATGACCTTCGTCCTGAACTCTTCCATATTGCTAGGGTTGTTCGTCTCCACCCTTGCCTTCTTGATCTTCACCTGTCCTGACTTGGCCATGAGCAGATTGCCAGCCTCCGCCTCCTCATCTTCATTCCTTGATCCAAAATGATTGAAGCGCCATGGCCCTGAACTCGCCCTGGTCCAACTGTTCATAAATGTCCTCGAAGCTGGGCTTGCCAGGGCACTCACCATCCTTAAGCTTGTAGAACTTCTTCTCGAACTCCTTCCTGTAGAGTTGTAGGTCAACAGGAGGAACATTCTTTGGGATCTTCTGCACCGCGGCCTCGGCATCCATCTCATCCTGGATGCTAATCCTCTTTCCTGCTGACTGCCATGCCAAGTACAAAGCAGCCAGGCGAATGGCGTCCTTCGGACGTACGTCCGTGTCCAACCCAAGTCCATCCTTGGCCAATTCGGCCAGTGTCTTCCGGTCGACCGCGATGGCGGCCAGCATGGCCCCCAAGTCGTGTAGACTGCCTTGTCCACCGAACGGGCTTCCAACAGCCCTTGTAGATCCGGGTTGAGGTTCCCGATCTTCTCATCCTCCGTGAGCGCCATCATGGCTCCACCGCCCTCCGAGCGGCGAGAGGTTCTCCCCCTCTCCGGACTAGGGCTTCCTGCCCACAGACCCCTTCCCAGGCCTTCGAGCCAAGCGACATCGATCACGAGTGGCGACCGAATCAACGTCTCGTCACGCGAACCCGAACCCGAGAGGTGGGGAGAGGGGTGAACCATAACCCGAACCCGGTGCCCAATGGGCCCACCCGAATCTCCCTCTCAACTTTTCCAGCCAAATGCACTTCCAGTCACGCCTCGTTTTCCGAGGAGTCCATCACCGAGGACGAAGATTCAGAGGTAGCGCCCTCCTCCTCGCCGTCGTTGCCCCGAAGGATCTCCGCCGTCTTGGCTTTCGTGCCAAAGCAAACTCCACAGAGCTTCTCGCCCTCCAACGCCGTGACCTCCGGCCTCTCCTGGCCCACCACCACGAAGTTGTGGTAGCGCACACCTGGAATCCTGAAGCACTCCCCAACCAGATGCAAGGTCCCGCTGCGGGAACGCCCCAAGACAGACATGATGTAGGCTACGGTGCCCTTCGGGTACAAGCTCTCCGGCCGATGATCGGGTTCTTCTTCCATATCACTGATCACCTCAGTTGGCGAGGGCGGCTTCGAGCCCGGAGAAGTCGGCGGTGCCCCACCCTCCTGACGGCGCCCAGGTCCTGGCTTCAGCACCAATCCACAAGACTCACGTCCAGGCCACATAGGTGGCGTCAGCGGCATCGCCAGGTCTGTGGCCTCCTCCAGGCTCTTGTCGAAATTCTCCTGAAGCCACCTGATGTAGTTGTTGATCACTGACTTGTCGTCCAAGAAGTCGGAAGTCCGGTAACTGCCCCTGATCTTCTGGGCCACCTCACCCTGCGCCGTGAGCACCACCTTCTTGGTCGTGACCGCATAGTCCTCGTCCACGCTCGGGCTCCACCTTCCCCATCGCCGCCTGACTTCCTTCGGCGCCTCTGCAACCAATGCCCAAGACATCATGGTCACCCGCTCCGAATGCTCAGACCAATGGCCCGTTCCTTCCGGGCTCATGAGCAGGCGCCTTCCACCACCTCTTTCCTGCATGCTCGATGGCAACTCCGACAAGAGGGCACGCGAGTAGGCCATGGCGTCCGGGTACCTCATCATTGAATGCCCAAAACCATGGAGATTCTCGCTGGGCCACGCCATCAGGAAGTCCCTGCTCTCCGACTTGGAGTCCTTGTTCATCGTGAGGAAGAGCTCATAGCCAACCCTCAGCCAGTCCCTCTCGAAGACCCATGCGTTGACCGAGATGTGGAACTGAACCACTTCTACTCGACGGCCGGCCCCCGTAGTTTTGCTCCTCATGATGTCCCCTTGAAGCCCAATCCCAAGCTCCCAGGACAACGTAGCCGGGGGAACCCCCTCGGCGTCGTGTGGCACGGAGGGCACGCTTCGGCCGCAAGGTTCTTCAAGACGTGCATTGATGTAATGCATCAAATCCTTCGGACGCCGAAGCCATTGAACTCCATGGGCTCCTTCCATGTACTCCTGGATCCTCCGGGCGTGCCTGACATGTTGGCGGATCGTAGCTGCCCGCCTTCCCATCGCATAGCGGCTTGCGACGTACTCCATGGCCTCGAACTCCTTGTCCTGCTTTCCCAGGTAGCCCGCCTCGTGTAGCAGGTTGTTCAACTCCTTCACCCACCTGTCCCGCTCAGCCTGCTCGATCTTCTCCCGTTGATTATTGCCCGTCACCTTCGCCGTGAGCCTCTGCAATCTTGTAGTCCAGGTAGCCTTTGGCATCAGCTTTCGTGCCAACTCCATGGCTGCTCCAGCCTGAGCAGGTGTCCTTGCCAGCTGCCGGTCCACGAACTTCTTGTCCTTGAACAACAAACGTTGATGGCTCAGGAAGATGCCATCCTCCAAGTCCAGGCGCCGTCTCTGCCGTTTCGCCTCCCGGTACAACTCGGAGTAGTCCTCCTCGTGCCATTTGTCCGCTAGCCCCGGCAGCAGGCCACGGACTTCTCCCTTTGGCATTCCATCAAAGAAAGCCAAAGATTGGGGGTCCCACCCTCGTTCGAGTAGGACCCCCACCGCTCCGGCAGCCGGCATGGCAACCAGATGCCGGGTCCCGACTCCTTTTCGAGCCCGAACTGCGTTCATTGACACGTTTCGTTTTACTTTGTATGACTATACATATCTGAAACTCAGCTAGGCCCGAAGCCAGCGTACAGCTGCACTAGTCACACAAAACAGCAACAGACTACAAGCATTGTGCAAAAATTGTGCCTGGAACTCATTTTCAGTGATGCATTCTGCTGCAGACTCCCTGGTGCCATGAAAGAGCCAAAGCCTTAGCAACGATGTGGCGACATGAAATTAGACACACTAGTGACAAAGGGCATCGCTACTAGTAGCAAGGACTACTACTTGTAGCTCCTGGCCTTACTACTAGGAACAAGAAGCTATTACTAGCAAAGGGCATTTCTACTAGGAGCAAGGACGATACTAGTAGCACGAAATGGCATTCCGTCTTAGCAGGGCAGCTCGTTGGCCTTCAGGCTCAGCTCTTTCACACTGAGTTCCTTGGAGAAGCGCCAAGCTTTGTGAGAGACCAATGAACCGCATAACTGCGTTTTTCTCCCTTTTTGTGGCAGAACGGTGGCCAAAGTGTTGACTAAATCTGTGTAAGCTCAGTTCTGCAGACATCAACTGGCGGTAGGCCCACATTTTAGACAGGAATGGCTGCAGCACGTTGGTCCCACGATTGTTGAGGACCGTCCTGCAGCGCGGGCCAAACCATGCCAGACCTGGAAACAATTAATAGTCTCCTTAAAAACAGAGTCGCGTGAAAAAATAAAAACCGAAACCTCGCAGTTGATGACAGATTCTGTAATCAAAGTCACTAAAACCGTTCAGTGTAGCTATGGGGTAAGGGCATAGAAGCTACTAGTAACAAGGGCATCGCTACTAGTAACAAGAAGCTACTAGGGGCTCCTGGCCTTACTACTAGGAGCAAGGATGCTACTAGGGGCTCCTGCCATCGCCACTAGGAGCAAGAAGCTACTACTAGTAGAAAAAGGAATGAACTGGCTCGCGCGCTGTTGCGAAAAGGGCGTCGGTGCCGGCCCTGTGATCCGGCAGCGCGCTTTTCAGACAGACGGGCATTGCCATTCAGTATGTGTTCAAACCTTGGGGCTCACAATTCGCTATTTACAGCAACCTAGTATCGTTAAAAGAGAATTGCACTGTGGGCGACAAGGCGCAGTGAGTGGCTGAATGTAAAAGAAACAATTTCAGCAGGCTGACACTTAAGAGAAACAGTTGTCATAGCAAGCAACAAGAAGCTAGTAGTAACAAGTGCCACGCTAGTAGTAACAGGTGCCTTACTAGTAGTAACAAGAAGCTAGTAGAAACAATACAGTTGTCATTGCAGAATTCGCATTGGTGGCCGGTGCAGTGGTCCATCCGTCCTACAAACTTGGTGTCTTTTCCTTTTAAAAAGAAAGACGCTACTAGTAACAAGTGCATCGCTACTAGGAACAAGGGCCTTACTACTAGGAACAAGAAGCTACTAGGAAACAATATTAGAATTTAATTAGAATTGAATTAACTTAGAATTAGACTTTGTAAAGATCTTAAGAGGACTCTAGTAGGTTGGAGGCCATTCGCTACTGGCCATCGCTAGTAAGTTGGAGGCCATCGCTAGTAGGTTCATCGGCCCTAATCATAGCTTGGCCCCACTCAATAGCTTTAGCAAGCAAACTCAGGTTGTCTAGCGCCTTTTGGTCTTAGGTGATATTAGTCCCCTGGTCTTAGAGCACGTCTGGTCTTGAGCCTTTGATTCTTGGATGTAATACTCAATAGGTTTGCTGTGCTTTTGCGGCTGTGTTTCCCATCTACCAGGCAAAGCCGCAGCCCTTGGCTGCCTAGACCAGTCCTCTTCGGCCGAAAAGATGCTAAGGCAGGCCGTTCCTCCTCATCAACTGGCTCAAGGCACATCTCATTGCCTTCTTCATCTATGAAACCTGCGCTGCTTCTGCTGTGCTTCTGCGGTGATTGCAAACATGCAATGGCGGTCGAGAAATCAACCTTCAAGCACGCTTACACCTCTGGTGCTGCGTTTGGCACACTTCTGGAACTTACACTAAACCCTGGATCAGTCTGATCGAACATGAACTGCCCGTTGCTTCCTTATCCTCCAAAGGCCATAGTCTTCAGGCTACGAGATACAAACCTCTTTTCTAGCTTTTGGCACAACCAACTCAGCAACTCACGGGAACTGTCACTTGTGCCTAAAATTGCGAGACATTCAAAGAGAAGGCTGCCAGGGACCAAGTTTTATGTAAAAGTTGGCATATGATTACAAACGTCCAAGTTTTCTGCAATGGAGTTCACAATTCAGAAAATGTGGGCGCCTTTGAAGGTTGTTGACTGAATGTCACCATGAGGCCTCAAAAGCAACAGTTCCAACTATGTGAAGGAAGGTGGCAAACAAATTCTTGAGGTTCCCGACTCCATCCATATCGGATAGAGCTCACCAACAGCATGCCTGCAAAGTCAGAATTGCAACGACTTGATAACCTTTGGCAATGTTTCAAGAAAAAACCGGCTGCACCATCAAGCAAGGAGAATATGTAAAATGTCACTGAACAGTAATTCCAACCACGGACGCAGTTCCACAATGTTAAGGTGTTATATAAGTGGGAAGACCTGAGGCACCACGCAGGAGGAACGAAGGTTCACGCCATTCTCCAAAAAGTTGACCTTCCTCTTGTAGGACTTGAAGTTCTCGGTCAAACCAGGCACATCCTGCAATGCATGGCGCCATTTTGTCTGCACAACGCAACGCCCCCTCAATCGACACGCAATGTTGGTTCATATTGCCTTCGATGCTGCTGTTGCAATCCCAGAACGCTTGCGGTTTAGTAGTCTCAACACAATGGGAACCTTTGCGACAATCATAGATATGCGTTTCTGCCCGAAAAATGCAATAATCGAAAGATTTCGTGCCAAATGAGCATTTTTGTAGGTTACAGTGATAAACATTTTCACAACCCATGCCTGACATTCTTGCATGTTTCCAATAAACAAGCCCTCTTGGCCTCCAACAGCATGCACAGCAACATTATCATGTTGTTTTAAGGAAACATTACATCAACACATTCCACCTCCTGCTATGAAAAATAATGTGTTTGTTTGCATCTTCTCTTGTTGCCCCTGCGACCGTTTAAGGTCCAAATCTTTAACCCTTGTCAAATCAAAGCCATAAGTTTGTTCATTACGTTGGCGTCACGAACGGATTCCGAACATTAGTTGCAAACGGCACCATTGGGAAAGCCAATGCCCATTGTAAACTCAATCAATGACGTCACAATAAAGAACCGCACTAAAACAGAGAATCTGGCCCCCCTAAACTCATGCGATGCTGCGATCACTGCCCGAAGGTTGAAACCAAGTGGAACCATTCCACCTAATCCTTCAGGTCAGTCAAGGCATTGACCAAACTGAGTATACTAGTTGCAGTGATGCAGGCTGTATATGTAAGTGGCACAGCATCTGACAACGCCTCCCTGGCCAAACTTCTGGGAGAAGTTGCACTGCACGCCTCTAGCTTGTGCCCGTTTCGAGTAAGGAGTGTTATCACGCCAATCGCTCCAACACGTTCCAATGCCTTGAGGCTGGACTTTGCAAATCAAGTCCATCCTGTGCCACATATGTTGGTATCATTTTTCTTGACATTTACAGTACTTGCTTGCATCTTCTGTGTTCAAAGAAGATTCCTTCGATCCATTGGCTGGCATTTGGTGGTCCCGGCCGGCCGGGAATTTCAACGGAACTTCTGCTTCCACAACTTGTTATTCTTCTTCGGCAGCCAATCCATGAAACCAACTGATATTGCTCTATGTTCATTGCTGCCAACTGCTGGGAAAGCATCGCCACGCACTTCTGTTCGCAATTCCCTGACTGGACGATAGCAAGAAGTCTACATCGATGAACATCTCCGTGACTCTTTATTCTGGTGCTCCAGATTCTGAATGCAACTGCCAGCGTTTTGGTGGCTGATCTCAGCCCGTGTCTTCAGATAAAACACGAATTATCCCATGTTCCTGTCTGTCCACTGAACTTGTCAGGCTCTGGAGCGCCATTGGGCTCTGAGCGAACTTGAACATCAACGCTTGCTTCGATGCTCTTCGTGATAGCCGTTTGTTGAGCGTAGGCGTCTGCCATTGCTCTCTGCAACCGGCCCTGTCCCGCAGCCAACGCGTGCATCGCGCAACTCCATCTGCTGAAACATTGGCACCGTGTGCTCAAACTTGTCCTCCTTGTCCTGCTGCTTCTTGTTGCTCGGATCTCCGGAGCCAAGCTTGAACCGGCTGGGCTCTGACCACAGCATCGCTACCAGCGGAGAATTTAGGCTAATGCGGTGCGATACTGAGATCACTATGCCCAAAGGTTGAAGTCAAGCAGAACATTCTGTTCATCTGACCCTGGAGGTCAGTCAGGTTTGAACAAGCAAAAACGGATGCAGCCAGCATCTGATCACAGATAAAAAGGCAGATTGTTCGTCCAAATTGCCAAATGCTGCAACAGCTAAGCGTAAATTTGACATATGTATACATATGTGTATACAAGACATACTATGACAATGCAATGGAGTGGTGCGTTTCTACGACCGCCATGGCGTTGCAACTTGTGACGGTTGGAGCCATTGACGGTGTGCATGATGTCATCTTTCATGCCTACACCCAAACAAGTCATATGCCATCGCACCTAGTAGCGATGACCTCCAACCTACTAGCGATTGCCAAACAAGTGAATGTGACTGGTCCTGCCAACTTGATTGGGCCCCATGAACCGCCCTGTGCTTAGCAGGTTGTCCCTCATAGGCTGTCATTCATGTTTGGATGATGCTACGACTTTTGTACCTCTATTCCACAAGCCTGCCCTGCCTCAAGATTGTCAGAAGAGGCAGCTAAGTAAAGCTGCTTAGCACACACGACTTGAAAAAATGTTCCCATCAATATCCTAAAGTTCGAAACACCTCGACTCGTGTCCCAGGCCTCGTCGCGCAGACCTCCCAAGCCTCCTCTCATCCAGCCACGCAGCACCTTCTCGAAAGCCATGCGGGCTGAGGACCAGCAGAAAACCTCAGAAAGGCATGAAAAAATTGCCTCCAACCTACTAGCAATTCGTATCCGCGGGGAGCTTAGGATCACGTCTCGCGCCTTCCTGTTTTGGCATCCTTCATCGCACCGTTCAGTCGAGCAACTGCCAAAGACGCGCCAAAATCCTGCCAAACAAACCCACAAAAAGCGATTCGAAACATTCTGGCCCGTCGAACAACTACCGGTGCAATCTGTTTGACCGCACAGTTTTCTACCAAATCACGCTTACAAAAAGATAAAAGGCCATCGCTACTAGGAGCAAGAACGCTACTAGGGGTTCCTGGCATCGCTACTAAGAGCAAGGACGCCACTAGGGGCTCCTGGCCTTACTACTAGGAGCAAGACGCTACTATTACTAGGAACACGCGACCTCATTGCGACAACTTCATCTGCAGGCCTTGCAAGGTCTCACGGCGTGTCCAATGGGTATGCTCGGCCCGCTTCTCGCAGTACCACACCACCGCGTCACCTTGCTCAAAAGGAATGCGAAAACAATTGCGGCAAAACCAAATAGCAACGGCCTCCAACCTAGAAGCGACGGCCTCCAACCTACTAGCCGTCTTGTTACTGGTATTAAGAATGCTCCTAGTAGCGATGCCAGGAGCCCCTAATAGCGTCCTTGCTCCTAGTAGTAAGGCCAGGAGCCCCTAGTAGCCTTCTTGTTACTAGTGCCTCCAAGAAAACAAAGGCAAAATCGGAACATACAAAGTGCCCCCTGAGGCCGTGAAGAGGTCTCATTGTGGCTGGACAAGTGGCCAGAGTCATCAAACCTGAGGCGATCGCCCCAAGCACAAGTGAGATGTGAGAAGATGTGAGATAGCCAATTCACTGGCTTCAAGGGAACAAGAGGACATCGCTACTAGGAGCAAGGACTGTATTCCAACCTACTAGCGATGGCCTTGACGTGAGATGTGAGATGTGGTCCTTGACGTCAAATCTTAGGCCTTGGCCATCCGTGCCATTTGTCCTTCACAAAAGCTTTTTCCTGCGGGGCCTCTGTGCCATCAAAGTCCTCAGCCAAGGAAAGCAAAGCCTGACGTGTGCCCAAGGTGCACCCAACGCCCAAGGTACGCCCACTCATGCCTAGCATCATCGTCCTTCACTCGCTTCTTCACTTCAACTAAGAACCTCAGGCCCCACACATGACTCCAATGGAGTCACCCTGGATTGGAATCACATCTTCGCCGAATGGAAACAATACCTTCTTAGGACTCCTAAGCCGGAAAAAACTTCTAGTAGGACTTCTAGTAGGGTGGAAGCCATCGCAATTAGGTCTTAGGACCCCTAGGCCGGAAAAAAGTCCTTCCCAAAGCTTGTCCGAGTCTTGGCCAAGCGACTGCACTTGTGGTGAGTCACCTCAGGGTGCCAGGACGCGAGAAGAACCTTTTTGCGCCGTTTCTGCCGAGGAGCCCCTAGTAGCCTTCTTGTTACTACTAGTAAGGCACTTGTTACTACTAGCTTCTTGTTACTATGGCTTTGAATGTGGCTGAGTTTGCTGAGAGGTCTCTCCTTTTCTAAAAGAACACAATTCAACAAAAGACGGTCCTTTTCATGTGAATTGGAGGCCATTGCTCTTAGGTTGGAGGCCATCGCTAGTAGATTGGAGGCCATCAATCCTTTTCATGTACAGGAATTCTTTTGAGTCTTGCTTGCTAATTCTGAAAAGAAATGTTTGGGCGCCTTCAGTGGCTGGGACATGGTCTAGAGCTTGGCTTCTAAGAACTCACGACATGCATTCCACATTAGATCCAGACATCCTTGATACCTACCTTGCAGTTTGCTTTCTTAGCACTCTGTTTGTTCACTGTAAATGCGCGACAACTGAGTGACAAACCACCTAAAACAAAAAAAACAACAAACCAATGGACACGTATGTGTTCTGGTTTCGAAAAAAAAAGAACATGCCAATGGACACGTGGGGAACATATGGGATGGGTTAGTAGTTCTGGTTTTTGGAATTCTTGGTCTCGACAAGCACCTGATCCAGGAGGTTTACATTTCTTGCATGGTCTTGTTTACAAGTGAACGCCTAAGGGGGGAATGTTGTTGTTGAATCTTCACACTATGATGTCATGTGTGTGTTCTTGGCCATGTTTATATAGTCGGTTGACACTTTTAGAACTTTCACCTGAACTGACTGCCCTTCCCGGATGTTCTTGAAAGTTATTTTCAATGCCATGATGAGAAACAAACACGTGCATGCTCGCTGTGGCCTACCCTCTCAAGAAGAAACGGGTTGCCAGCAACTCGACAAAATCCAAACCTTCGAGCGGATGGACAACTGGACTGGAATTCACCGGCTTCAAGTGATAGTAATCCTGAGCCACGTGGTGAACCAACAGTTTCTGCCAAACGACGGCTTGACTATCAACAACAAATTGGTTGTAACAAAAATAGTAGTAACCCTAATGAACCCAACTAAAGAATGTATCACAAAAATACATCTAATGTATTTGTGTTTGCTCTGCAGGACGTGCGTCTTGCACCGAAATCAAAAAAGGGATTGCAAAAAGTAATCTCATCATCAGCTTCTCAAGGTGGTGGCAGCAAGGTGGTCAAAGAACTCCCCAAGAAAACGTCCACAATCAAGATAAACATCTCTCAAAAGAAACTCATGAGTGGCTGTTGTATACCAACTGTAATGCACTTGGAATACAAGTTTGGTTCTGCATGCTGGGCATTCTGTGCAGCAAACAAGCATGAAAAATAGAATAACGACGAGATTGTTTGTTTTAAAATGCAAGCATACATTCTATATTTATATATGATTTTCCAACATCAGGCTGTACCCAATATCGATTAGGTACGACCCAAATTTCTAAAAAAGGTGGCACCATATGGCACCTAAATGAACTTACGTAATAGCGATGGCCTCCAACCCAATAGCGATGGTCTCCAACCTATATAATAGCAATGGCCTCCAGCGGCCTCCTACCTAATAGCGATGGCGGGCCCATGACGCAGGAGTCATGGGATACTGCTTGGAGGTCACCGCTACTAAGTTGGAGGCCATTGCCACTAGGTTGGAGGCCATCGCTATTAGGTTGGAGGTCATCGCTACTAGGTTGGAGGCCATTGCCACTAGGTTGGAGGCCATCGCTATTAGGTTGGAGGTCATCGCTACTAAGTTGGAGGCCATTGC